ATGCACAGTTTGAAAATTTGATTATTAAAATTTATTGCTTTCCTATCAACATAAGTGTACTTTTAATTTGCTTTGGCAGCCCTTTCTGATTTTATTGTCAAAGTGACACAAACCTCAAATTCAATAGTTAAAACTTTTTTATAGAACTTTTTAAATTGTTATGACAGTATATGTTCACTTAAAAATTACTCAGATACTGATGAATAAGCTATAACATTCTTTCCTATATTCTATGGTTATATCTCTTTTGGAGATTGTTCACATGGAACTGGTGATTGTGAAACATCTAAAGAGGGAGAGGCCAAGAAATAAAAATCATTTTTTAAATGAAAAAAAAATTACTCAGATACTACTAAAGGCTAGAAAATAAAACGTAGTCTCTTCTCCTTTTCAGCATTTCTCCCCAACCTGGACTTAAAACCACAGCTCTTTGAAATTTCTATTAGCATTTGGTTGTGTTATCTTTCAGGCATTCTCTATAAGGTCATGCATCCTGTTCTTCTTTTTCTTTTCTTTCTCTTAACTTCCTTCCTTCCTTCCTTCCTTCCTTCCTTCCTTCCTTCCTTCCTTCCTTCCTTCCTTCCTTCCTTTCTTTTCTCTCTCTCTTTCTCCCTCTCTTTCTTTCTCAACAAGCAATGTTATAAATACATACAGTTTTGCCACTTGTTTTTCTTTAATTTAGCAATATATCATGGGTATTTTCCAGTACTGGAATATTGGGCGTGTATGCCACTGCTTTCAGTGGCTGTGTAGTATTCCACTATAATGATTATTTCATAATTTATTTAGTCAATTCCCCATTGATGGTGTTTTTAACAGATTAGATTTAATGATGGTTTAATATCAGAAACTCAGAAACCACCCAAAACTAAGTTTTTATTTTTGTTTTTTTTTAAGTAGTTGAGTGTTTTCTGCCTGGACTGATTTCAAAGGGAGAACATGCTGAGCAAACCAGAAGGTTGCTTTTATTACCACCACCCAGCAAGGAAAGGCCTCAGCTTCAAATCTGACCATAACCCGAGGGAATCTGTCAGACTAGAAGTACTCAGATATCCCATCCCAGAATAGAGGGCTTAGAGGGTGAAGAGAGAAGCAGATCTGTGAGGACAGGAATTTAGACTCACTCCCCAGAGTTTGACCCTCTGCCTGGACAATTTTGGGGCTTGGGAGATGTGAAGGTAAGTGATTGCTTAGCAATTATGTTTCCAAGGGCACTGAAATATAGCATGGGGGCTTCAAGAACACCTCTACCACGATACCTACAGCTTTATACATTTCTGAGAGACACTTGTATTGAGAGAGACCCATGCACAAAGCACAGATTGGTGCACAGAGCCCTGGAATGAAGAGAATGGGTCTGTCGTGGGTTGTCTGAGTCACGGTTTTCATGTCCACGTGTTCCCTTCTAAAGCACATCTTGAAGGAAGTTCCTAAGCCATTCTGCCAAGTCTTAGTTGGTGATAGAGCCCCAAAGGGCCAGAAAGTTTGTAAACCATCAGAGTCAGCACAACCTGAGACTGAAATCAAAAGGAGCATGAGTGAAGGTCAGTAAGGGTGGACAGAACAAAGACCTACCTGTCCTTGAGCCGGGCCCTCAACGGACCGATCATCTTACAGAACTTTTTTAAAATGAAGATTTGGGGGCCCCACCATCAAAGATTCTGATTCAGTGACTCTAGTTCAATCAACCATTTTCCCCCTAGATGACAAATTTCTTCTGAAACAGATTCTAATCAGTACCCAGCTTATAATAAGCATGCAATAAATGGTTGTTAAATAAAAAGATAACTACATTATAATAGGACCTAGGGGTGGTAGACAGGGAGGCTGTCTCTTATTGTTTAAGTAAAATTATGTGATCTAATAGTTATAATTATCGATTAATTCAAGAAATACTAAGTACCCACAAAATATTCCAGGTTTTAGAGATGTGGAGGGAAAAGAGACAAAGTGCCTACTCACAGGAAGCTTTTCTTGGGATTGGGAAGATACCAAGAAAAGTATCAGATGGGCCTGAATTCTGTAAGAAATTAAAACAGGATGGTAAAGACAGGCTGGAAAGCTACTTTAAATGGGGTAATCAGTGAAGAGCTCTCTGAGGAATTGGCCTTTAAGCTCAGACTTGTGAAAACAGGGGCTCAACTGGAAGAATTGTAGGGAAGAACACCACAGCAGCGCCACAGTCTGCGTTCTGGCTGGCACAGCGCCCGGGGCTGCAGCGAGCTTGGGCTTAGGGGAAGCAGCAGGAAGACCCTAGTGCCTGTGGAGCAGGAGGGAGGGAGAGGGTGGAACGAGATGCGTCCGAAGGATAGGTCCACATCAACGTGGGGAGTGTGGATTTCATTCCAACTACACCAAGAAGCCAATGGAAAAAATCTAGCAGAAGAAAGGCACGATATGATACCTGCTTTGAAAAGATCATTGTGGCTGTCGGGTTGAAAATAGAGGAAAGTAGAGAAGCCGGAGCAAGCGCAGGGAGCCCAGTCAAGAGGCTGTTGTTGTGTCCCTAGAGGAACAGTGGCTTGGCCAAGGGGGAGGGGATGGAGTTGGAGAAAAGTGGATGGAATTGAAATATGGCTTGGAGCTGGAATAAACAGACATGCTGATGGATTACATGGGGTGTGGGGTGGGAGGGAAAGAGAATTAAGGTTGGCATGTAGGTTCTTGGTTGAGCGATTTGAGGCATGTAGGTTCCTGGTTGAGTAGTTTGAGTGGCAGACCTGTATTACTATTAACTGAAAGTGGAAAAATTCCCCAGAAATAGGTTTGAGAGAAAATTAAGATCTTGATTATGAGTATGATGAATTTGAAGAATCTTAGACATCCAACTAGAGATGTCAAATAAACAGATATATTTATAACTCAAGAGTTAAGAGATAAATGAGAACTAGAAATACTAATATCATCTTGTATCTGACTAATATAAGGTTTCAACTATTTTTGCTTATTTATCTGTAGAAAAAGTTACCTTGTTACTCAAATGCATGAATCCTTAAAGTTATTCACTGTGTTTTAGCCTATAATAAGTTGGGTTTGGATGGCCAAATTATACTTTGTCATTTTCAATGAAAGCCTCCAAAATGATCAGCCCTCTACAAATGCCCTAATAAACCAAAACAACTTTTAAGGTTCTTTTTTTAAATAAATATGCCTATTTTTGCTTCAGCAAGCGCATTTAAAAGAGATGTTAATTTTAACTGCCAAGACATGTAAAACCCAATATCAGTTTTCATTTTGCCTCTAGTCCAGGAGGATTCTGGTCTCGAGCTCTCGTGAAACTATTGTCAGAAATGTTATCACTCTTTTCCAAGTGCAACAGCCTCCAGGAGGAGAGGGGAAGTTAATTAGAAATTTCCATGTCAGATATAATTTATAGTTCATTCGCTCTTGAGACATGCTGGAGGGTGTTTGAAAAATTTAACACTAAGCGAACTATGTTTTTCTAAAGTTGTCAACAAAATACATATGGAGCAGAGAATATACTTGTCCATTACGTACTGGATGGGACTTCAGAGATTTAGCCTGCATCTCTTTTTCTAGATGAAGAAACTGAGGCCCAGAGAGGTACAGGGACTTCCCAGTGTGAAATAAGCTACAGCAGGATGGGACTGAAACTGAGGGCTCTGACTCGTAGGACTGCGCTTCCTCTTTCAGCTACTGTAACCCTAGCACTTATCCTTGGTTTGATGAGTCTCTATTGAGATTGTTGGGGAGGCAAACTTTTCCTTCACCCTTCAAGGTTCTTCTAACTGGTCTAAGAATCAGACTGACATGAGACAGGTTACCTGGAGAAAATCAGAGTTAATAGTGTATGTACAGGGAGCCAACACAGACATAAGATTCCAAAGACAAGTCAGAGACAATGAAGTACATATGTCATCCTGAATTAAGGAGAAGAGGGTAGGGGTCTGGGACTTCAAAGGGGAGGAAAGCAATTCACAGGATTAAGAAAAAGTAAATGTTTGATAAATGAATGCTTGCCAGGACTCACAGAAACAAGGGGACATAGATGCAATCTTAACAGATAGACTTGGCTAAATTCCTTCCTGTCTACCACCCGTAGGTCCTATTATATATAGTTATGGTGATAGCTCTCTTCCCGGAGTAGATCCTCCATCTAAATTCTTTTAGGCAGTGAGAGGGAAGGTCAAAGCTTCTTTTTGAGTCTTTTGGGCCTTGATTGTTTTTTCAGCTCCACATAATCTGCCAAAGTGGCCCATGTTGGAGGGCCTGCTCTTGTTCCCTGCAGTTGATTCTATACTACCCCAGGTCATCCTCTTACTTTGTGTCAGGGAGGAATCAATGATAGCTAATAGTGATGCATCCTTACTGTGCCCTAGGCACTGTTGTGTTTTACATGTGTTAACTAATCCAACCTTAGAGCAGCTTAGTGAGATGGGTAGTCGTACCATCCCCATTCTGTACCACAAGCCTGTTCTACATCTGGGTCCAAGCAGGTCAGGGTTCTGACCTTAGGAATTACCGAGACTACAATGATGATTAACATTAATTATTTCTCTAACTCAGGCAGATATTTTCCAACTGTCTGCAAAACTATAGATGTCCAATATACAGAGGAAACTCAACATGTCTGAGACAAAGTGCATTAACCCCTCATCCAAACCCATTTCCACTCCGTGTTCCCATTCGGTTAAAGGTGTCCTCACCCCTACAGTTACCCTTCTCATCTCCCATCTCTAACCCACTTGACACTATAAACATTATTTAAACCCTGTTTGGTTCCCATAAGCATTGGAGGAGAATAACTGTAGAGAACTTCCCTCTCTTAACTCTGTGCCCCATCTCCCACCCTCAGTCCATTCTCATTTTTCTAACTCAGGCCCTCCTCATCCACCATTTGTAAAAATCACAGTAGCCTCCTATCTGGTTTTCCTATTTTTGAGCATGTAGTTCTTCAACCACAACTTTTCATTGTTAACATTGTTATCCTCCCCCAAACAGGAGGCAGATTGTGTTAAATCCCTCCCCTCGCCACTTACTGAGAACGCTTGAACTGGCATTCCAGGCCCCCTTCCGCTGGCACCATTTCTCTTCTCTCGCTTTCCATGCTCTGTGCCAGCCGCCCCAGCCTGCTCACAGTTCAAGATTAAATGGGATATTTATAGCTTCCCTGCTTCCCTCACAAGTATGTGCTAAGGATCGGTTAATACATGTGAATGATTTTATTATGTTTGTTTGTTTATGTCTCACCTTGTTCGGTAAAAAGTGTGAGGTGCGGAAACAGTTTGCTAACTGTAAAACGCTTTAGAGATGTCATTTTAAGCCATGGAAATAACTGAATTTCAAACCACAGGGGACCCTAGAGGTGGTGGAACGCCCCACCTTCCATTTTCCACAGCAGATCATTAGTTGGCCTGAATAAGTTAGAGGAAGAGGTAGTTAGCAACAGAATCCAGATTTCTGCCTCACTGTATCACATCACTTCAGGAAAATGAAAACAGATTCTTTTCCCTCGAGAAACACTGGAGCCTCCTAGATTTATTGAACTCACTGGTTGTACATCTGCTCATCTTAACTACTCGCAGTCTCTCTGAATAAGGTATAAACAGTTTGGATTTTGCCCCAGTTTCTTCCCTGCTACCTCCCCTCTACCCCCACCACCACATACCAACCAGACCCCCAACTGTGAAATAATTTGCTTAAAATAGTCCCCTGGGCTTTGTACTGGACTCTTTTTAATTGAGATTTGGTGCCAATTATCTAGCCTTTTCCCATTGGGTCACCCCTTTGTATTTTTCACAATTAATAATTCAGTTAAATGTGTAATTCTTAGCTACTCTTATTCCAAGACAGTCTTATACCAAGTGTATTCTGTCGGTTTATTATTGCTGATAAAAGCCATTGTAAAGCTCTAGTTTCATGAACAGTGAGCATGGTAGAATACAACTAACAGCCATGTGCCAAGAGCACCCTCCAGGTGACAAATGTTACGTTAAGTACTTTATTTGCATTATCTCTAATCATCCCAACAAAATCCTTGCAAAATAAGGGTTCATGTTCTGTGCTACATGAGGAAACTGAAACTCAAGGGGTTCAGTCACTTACCCAAGGTCATAGGATTGGTAAGGGATGGGACCGAGATTTGAATCCTGGCCATCCCAAGTCTAAACCCAGTGTAGTTTCCCACGACATTGTTTTCACAGCAGGCAGATGACGTGAGCTGGGATGGAAAACCCCAGCTGCCATGAGCAATGGTGCTGCCCTCTGAGAAGCATCTCCACAGGGATCAGTTCACTTGGAGGCTGGCAGTAGCGGTGCCTCCGCACAGTCCCTGCCCTCTCTCTAACTGAAAGCACTCTGGGGTACAGGAATGATGGTGCAATAACATTTCTCCATTCTCAACTGAGAACAGTTCCCCACGGTAGTAAAAATAAACTCCAAATTCACTAAAACAGCTTTCATACCCTGCACGGCTAGATCCTTGAGAGGGAGTAATGTGTCACGGTGAAGACTGCAGACTTAAACCATATTGCCTGGGTTTAATTCCTGACTTTGCCATATATCAGCAGTGGAACTTTGTGCAAGTAATTTAATCTTTTGTGCCGTCTCTTCCTCTGTAAAGTGGGCACTGCATGTTCGCACTTCACAGAGCTGTTATGAGGGTTGAGGGAATTGATAACGGGAAATGCTTCAAACAATGCCTGGCACAGAGTAAAGTGTTACATGCATGTCCACCACCACCATCATCACCTCCATTTCTCCCACCTCATATCTTACCTCTTTTCCACTCTCTTCCTTTTCTGCCCTTCTGTAACCACTGCTTTCTTTCCTTCAGATGCTCCAGGCCCTCTCTCACCTCCAGACCTTCCTATGTCCCTCCCTCTCTGCCAGGAATACTCCTGCTTCTCCTCTGCCCACCCCTCCCTCCACTGCCCTCCTTCCCACCCATACTCACCTGGGTAACTCATGCAGGTCTCATTTCTAATATCAATTCCTCCAGAAAACCTTACACACCTCCTCGTAGCTTAGTAGGAGCTCTTCCTCTGTGTTCCAGAACATTCTGACCTTTTCTTGTCAAAGCACTTACCATCCAATGCTCAATTGTGTGTTTATCTGCATCATCCTCTACTGAATGGTAAATTACTTGACAGTGTAATTTACTCTGGTTCACTCCTTTCCTTAAATTGGAAAGGTAAATGACTAAAGTGGATATTTTAAAGACACTGAATTTATATCAGCATTATGCTTAGCTCTAGATGCTGCGCTAGACACATGTTCAAGGATAAGCAACATCCATGTTGTTATACTTGACCTCACATGTGTTCATCTGAGTCTCTGATGAGGTATTAGATAATATCAAAATCTAGAAATAACACTTATAAGAGCCTTCCCAAATTGAATGGGCAGACCCCAGAAGGAAAGAACCCCCTGTCACTGGAGGTATGCTCACTTAGTAAGGATGATATGGAGGAATAAGTAAGAGAGTGAGCTCATTTAACCTGAAAAGAGAAAACTGTCTTGGACTGTTACAAAGATGATCATTTCTTAGAAAAGAAGAAATGTTCTGTGGGGCCTCGGAGGGCAGAACTAGAACCAAGGGGTGGCCAGTGCCAGGAAGATGATTTAGACTCAACGCAAAGACTGTTTATCACTAGAGCTGACCCCAGGTGGAATGGGTTTCCCTGAAAGAGAGTGAGTTCTCCATCAGTCTGAAAGGGGTGTTGCACAGGCTTAGGTGACCATTTGCCTGGCATAATGTAGTGCAAATGTATTTCTTACTCTTTCACTTATTCACTCACTCACCTCCTCAGTTATTATGTACCTACTATTTGGCAGGCACTAGGCTGGGGATGCAAGTTCCCGTAAGACAAGCACCCACCCTTAGTACTTCACAAGTAAGCACAGTCCGTAAGTCTGTTTGGACTGCATCGTTAAGGACTAGGACAAGTTTTCCAGGTGAGAAAGGGATGAAAAAATTATGTTCTAGATAGGGAAAATGTGCAAAATGCCTGAATGGGAGAAATGAAAAAGGTCAGCAGGGAGGGAAACAAGGGTATAAGAATACATAATACAGTCGAATCAGCTTAAAGGTATATACCAGAGGTTGAAGAAGATCAAAAAGGCTCTTCTTATTTCTGAAATTCTCTGATTCTGATATCATCCTTTGTATAATACTACAAAATAGATAACTACTTCTGGAGAAGATAGAGTTATTTAATCAGAAAACCCCTTGGAGCCTAAGACCAGAGGCCCTAGTGGCTGAGTTGTTAACATAATACTCATCTTTTAAAAACAAAGAGAAGAAAGGTTGACTCTGGACATGGTACACCATTCACCTTCACGTTAGCATCTGAAAAGAAAGAAAGCCCTACAACTACTGGAATTAACTAGAAGGGCTAAAATTTTTATCGATTGTGAGCATAGTTGTGAAAAGGATGTTACAAAAAATAAAATTTTTTTCTATGATATAATGATAGATGTATACATAAAGGGCTAACAATGGATAGAATTCGTCTAGCCTGCCCAAAGCCTTTTGCTTGAGTCCTACATGATCAGACCATTATAAGCTGGGCATAATGTCTAAACCAGATTGCTTGGGCCCTTGTAGAGCTGACTGACATGCCTCACTCAACTGTGGGCTGTCAGCCTCAGGGAGCTCAAAAGGCAAGTTTCTGGAATTTTGTAAACATAGACCCTCACAGTTAAATGGGATATAAAAGGAAGAACAGTAGGATAGTAGTTAAGAGCTCAGATGGTTTTAAATTCTTAACCTCTTTAACCTTGAACAAGTAAGTGATTCTTTCTGAGTTGTTTTCTTATTTGTAAAGTCAGAAAAATAATCCCAGCCTCCAGAGATTAAATCAGATGATGTATAAATATCTCCTGTGTATATAAACATGCCTGATGCTTAATTAATGGTACCCACTCTCCCAGTCCATGCTTCCGGAGGAGAAAATTCAAACTGACATAGAAAGATGGAAATAATAAATATATGAGGCTGTGTCACACTTGGTATTTTAAAATGTCATATCAATGACATACACTGTTTTTGAATGCATCTGAAAATGTTATTTGAGCAAAGATTAGTGATAAAAGCTCAAACCCCAGGGATAGAAATAAAAATCAAAGTGACCTTGAAAATTTTGAAAAACTGGAAGAAAGCCTGTTTGCTAAAACCGGAAGAAAATCAACAGGGACACAGACCATGTGGTATAGTTCAGGATAACAGCAGCATCACAGGCTCTCCAAGTGTAGAGACCCATGAAGAATTAGGCCCAAGAAGAACAAGGTTTGGTTCTTATTGGCCCAGTGGAAAACAAACACACACCCATGTAGGCCCATCTGCTGCAGTGGAAAGAAGCCCCGGCTGGTCCTAACCTGTGCTGACGCTAGGAGGACTTTGAGCCAGGCTCTTCCCCTGTGGCAGTCGTCTCTAATGGGTAACTTCTGGATGAACAACTTTGTAAGGCTCTTCCAGTGCTGAAATTCCATGTTCCTAAGATCAAAAGCAAAAAGAAAACCATGAACTCACATAGATATTATACCTTGCATTGGTTAATTTCCATTAGATATTTTTTTTGCATTACTTATAAACACTCAAAGCAATAATAAATATTTTCAAGAAATATTCAAAGCAATATAGATATTATTTTGCTGAATGACTTTTTGTACCAGGCTCCATGTTAAGGGCTTTACAGGCTTCATTGATTTCATGCAACAGCCCTGAAAGAAAATAGGTATAACACCCATTTTACATGTAAGGTTGCTGAGGTTCAAAGGAGATTAGTGACTTTCCCCAGTTATTTAGGTGTAACTGGGGGACTCAGGATTCAAACCCAGTTCTCTTTAACTCCAAGTCTTTTGTTGCCTCCCATTTTTCCATGCTCGCTTAGTGCTCTGAGAAAAATGCAGAGGATAATTAGAATATTGAAAGGTGTAGAAATGTGATGCTATAAAGGAAAGGTCTGCGAAAGGGTGGTTGGTCACCTGGTTACTTCAAAATCAAAATGTATTCCAGTAGATCAAAGATTAAATAGCTAACAAACTTAAAATAAAACATTGGTAATTTATTAAATATATTGGAGAGGGGAAGATATAATTCAAAACTTAAAAGCCAAAAAGGAAAAAAAACATGATAAATCTGACTATTTAAAACATTTTAACTTGTGACTATTTAAAACATTAAACTGGCAAGATATAGCATTCAATGAAAGTTTAAATAGTTAATATACAATAATACAAAATACAAATACCAAACTAGTAAGAATATTTGCAATAGTTACCTCAAGTAGATATATACTTATAATGCAAATAAATTTTTAAGAGCAAATGATGCCAAAAAAGATGTTTTAAGGCAAAATAAGTGAACAAGAATATTGTACAAAAAGAAATTTAAATGACTGACAAGCATATAAAAAATGCTTAACTTCAAACTGAAGATATGCCAAGTTTAAAAATATGATGTCTTCTTATCATAATGGCAAAGGTCAGATGTTGGGGTACATGCAATATTTACAAGAGTGTGAGGTAAGTATAAATTGATACTACATTTTTGGAGGCAACTTGGCAATAGCTATCAAAAACTTAACATTCACACCCTTTAGCCAAAAACTTATTGTTAGATGATATTTATTATAATGTTGTGTAAAATACTGAAGCAACCTAAGGGTGCATGGACTGTGCACTGGTAAAATTAATTGTTTTACATTGACTAATAGAATACTCCACAGCTATTAAAAAGAATGAGACAATGTATAGGAAAATGTGAATGAAGAAAGCTCTCTAAGATACTTCAGTAAGTGGGAAAAAAACAATTTATAAAATACTGTGTAAAATATATTTTTTGCATAAAATTTTTAATTATTTATAATTTTATAAACCTGCTTATATTCATAACAAATATAACTGGTAATATATACAAGAAACCATCAACATGGTTACCTTTGGAGAGAATAATGAGAGTTGAGGGAGCCTTTTATTTTTATGCCTTTCTGTATTACTTTCATGTTCACATATGTGCTGTATATACATATTAATTTTGTTTTGTATCTCAATGCATTATCTAGGCAATGAGATTACTGCCTGTTTTTTTTCATCTTTATTAGTTTCTCTTTGATTAGTGAATAAATAATCATTTTTTTAAATAGGCAATAGCAAATTTAAAAAAACAAATAATACATATACCCTTTCACTTAGAAAGTTTATTTCCAGGGATGTTATCCTTCAGAAACACCTTCATAAGTGTTTGCCTACCAAAAAGCTGGACACAACCTTAACCACATCAATAGAAATCCTACTGAAAAACCATGTTATATCCATATGGTGGAATACTAGGCTCCTAATAAAAAGGTAGATGATAGGCACTGATATGGAAGATGCTCAAGACTGTTAAATGAAAAAGCAAACCAAAAACAAGTTATGAAATTATATATGTATGTACATATATATATATATATGATCCTATTCATTTCAATAAAAAGATAATAATATGTTAAAATATATAAAGAAACAGAAATAAAGGCATGGGCTTGCAAGGGCATACAGTAGATTTCTAATAAGTATACACAAGACACTGCTAACAGTGGTTACCTCCAGAAGTGAAGATGATGAGGGGGCTTTTTGCTTTTCCTTTTATATCTTTCTGAAATATTAGAACTCATTTACCATGAGCATATGTACTTTTTTAATAAAAAGGTAGCCCTACTAGCTTGACAAGAGATTATTTGGCCCATGAATTTTTAACATTCAAACTTCCTGTATGCAGGAGCCTTGATCAAGTGACTGTTCTATCTGTTCTGGCTCTCTGAGTCATCAGATCCTAGACAGTCTGTGAAATGACTGTCATCTACTAGGGAGTAAATCTGGAAGTTTATAGTGCAAGGGGCTGTTTGACTCCAAGAGCCTAACAGCCACTTCCCTCCGAGGCAGGAGAGAACTGAGGCTCAGAAAGGCAATACGACAGTCACTCAGTTCGTGTCGTGAGTGGCACCCAGGCCACGCCGAGATCAGCAGACCCCCCAGTGTCACCATGTAGTCAGTGCTTTCATTAAGAACTCCACCAGAATAGAAAGCTGAGGAAGAGGTGAGGAAAATATAAAAGTGAATAAGGAGACTTTTAAAAAGTTATTATGAGAGGACCAGGATATGGAAGTGAACATTACAGGTGTTCCAGGCCTGATAGGGCAACTGTGGCAACCCGGCCATCCACCACCCAATATCATCAGAGAGACTGATGAGAGGCAACGTACGATTCTATTTTTACTGGTAGATAATCTGATCGGTTCTTTTATACTTCTTCATGGTCTATAGCCATCTCCCTTGTAAATAAAAGAAAGCAGAAACCTGGTATCACCTGCAAAAACCTAGCTCGGTGTAAGTTAGGAAACTGGACTTACAGCATGTTTATCTGAAGCAGAAAAGCTTCCTAGGGGCTTGGCTTGTTCACCCTTGTGCCCCACCCACCATCCCTCCGCTGCAGCAGGCGCAGAGCCCTGTCACTGGAAAGCACTCCGTAATTACATTGTGTTGACTTAGCCTGAACTGATTCAAGAAAGATTTTAGCTTTTGCTTCTCATTAAATTTGACTTTGGGATGATTTTTCCCACTTGGCAGAGTTTTGTGCTTGGTTTCAGATGCTCTCTTTTTCTTTTGGCATGGGCCCCAGAATGAAGTTAGCAGCAGAAACTTGAACTCCAGGCATTCTTTATTCTGTTTGGTCAATATTCACTCTGGAATTGTGCAGGAGAAAAGGGGCCATCAAATTTATTTTCGAACAAGGCTCAGGGCGATGTAGCTAAGCTCAGGATGACAGGACCAGGCATATGACCAAAGAGAGGGGTTTGGCGGGCAGCCAGCCTCATTCCAAGCAGAACCTCATCTGAATATATTAATCTGTCATCACATACTTGTCCATGTATATTACATGTGTCTCTCTTTGTTATCCTGTTTTCCCTCTGATTTTGAAGGCTCCTACCTATGCCAAGAGTCGAGGAAACTCACAGAGGCATTTTAAATGCACACACTAAAATCCTAGCAGACATGGGTAGATTAAAAAAAAAAAGTGTTTCATCACAGTCAGACCACGGCAGAGATGCCATGGGATGAAATGTCATGTCTCTGCCAACTGAGAGTTAACAAGAGCACACAACTTGCTAAGTTAACACTCAAATGCTTGGGCAAGATTAAGGGTTTTGAGGCAGGTGGCATAATCCTAGACAGCCTCTCAGTTTGGGGTGACTCTTTTCTTCTGTCTATCAGAACAATAGGCCTCAGGAAATACCAAAACTCTCTGGCTTCCCCTCTTTCAGGTGAATGGCATTGACCTCCGTGGAGCATCTCATGAGCAGGCTGCTGCTGCATTAAAGGGCGCTGGGCAGACGGTGACGATTATAGCACAGTACCAGCCTGAAGGTCAGTGAGAGCCCACACGCACGGTTCGGGTATGTTTCTGTGTAAATGTGTACCTGCATTTCTGATCACCTGTATTAAGCAGTCACTGCAACAAGGCTTTTTGAAATTAACCTGAGCTGAAAAATCGATGTTTCACATCCAAACAACACCATGAAGCTTTGTTACTCTTCATATTGCAAGGAAGACATCAGACAGTTAGATGTTGGACATGTGAATTCACATAAATAATTAGCATCGGTTTCATTTCATTTATTTTCTTATCTGGTACATACTTTTGGTCAGCAATGGGTACCATAAAGTATTTAAGGTTGAGGAAGCAAGGAGGAAAGAAGTCATCTACAGAAATAATAAATAATAAATGATGAGTAGACCATATTCTCTCCATGTGGCATTAACTCTCACCAACGCTAACATTAAGGTTTGGAAATCCTTCATGTGGACTTTTATTTTATTTTATTATTGTTGTCTTTTCTGCTACATTGTCACTTCTTTGGAACACAACACCATAAACCTTGAGACTGGAATGTCATCGATTGGATTAGCCAACTGAGGCTTGATGAGATTCCATAAATTGGATTAGCCATACTCTGTTCTTTGGTTTGTTTCAACATCTGTGATCAGAATGAGGCTCGATGAGACAACTGGGGTGTTACCAATTGAAGGGTTGATTTCTTAGCAAATGTGTATATGGATTGCTCCTTTGTTCATGCTCACCAGTGTACTTGTGCACACCACTGTAGGCTAGATTTTGTACAAAACAACAGAGGAACATGGTTTCTGTCTTCAAGAGATGTAGTTAGTTGATTCTGGTCCATGTGGCTGACAGGTAGGATCATTAAACAGCTTTGATGAAAGTACCAGATGCCATCGAGGAAGAGCCTTTGTGCCTGTCACTTTAAATAACTGTTTGGCCTTTTCTAATGATTCTTTCTTAACATCAGTTGGTCTGTTGTTGCTTGGAAGACTGAGGTTTGCGCCATGCCTATATCTTAGATTTTATCATTATTGGTGGCCAACCACTTATTGTATGTGAAAATAAAAAAAAATTCTACCATGTGTTTTGATAGGTTCCTTTCACTTTGCCTGACCTTAGCATTAGATTTGCAATTAAGTTCTTTTAAAAAGCATTAAATGCTTTCTCCTATTGTCCTAGCCCACACCGACCCAGAGAGCTGGGAAAGAGGAGATTAGTGACTGTCAAAGACGGAAGACGCAACACCAGGGGGACATGTTCTTCCCAGACAATTTTGAGAACTCTTCCTTCAAAATTAGTAGACGTGTCTTCTAATAGGAATAAATGGTTCCAAAAGTCCGCTGTAAAACAGTAAATACAAAGATCTGAGTTAACCCATATGATGAACAAATTTTACTTCATATAGAGGAAGAATTTATTCATGGAATTCTCCCATTTTCTTGAGGGCTGTGTTCTTTTAGTCTCAAACCCCAGGCCCTTCCCCCATAACTTGGCTCATGGCATAAATATTCCTGGCTGTCTTCCATTTCTGAAAAATTTCATCTCAGACAATTCTGTAGACTGATAAGTTGTCAGAAATATATAGGCATTCCTGGGAGATATTGTGGGTTAGGTTCCAGACCACCTCAATAAAGCAAATATCACAATAAAGCAAGTCAAATGAATTTTTTGGTTTTCCAGTGTATATAAAAGTTATGTTTATACCATACTTTCATCTATTAAATGCAATAGCATTATATCTAAAAAAATGTACATACCTTCATTTAAAAATACTTTATTGCTAAAAAATACTAACTGTCATCTGAGCTTTCAGCAAATTGTAATCTGTTTTTGGAGTGTCTTACCTTGATGTTGATGGCTGCTGACTGATAAGGGTGGTGGTTTCTCTGGCTATGTCTTTAAATAAGACAGCAATGAAGTTTACTCTGTTGATTGACTCCTTCTTTCACAAACAATTTCTCAGCATGCGAAGCCGTTTGATAGCATTTTACCCACAGTAGAATTTCTTTCAAACTTGGAGTCACTCCCCTCAAACCCTGCCAATGTTTTATGAACTAAGTTTATGTAATATTCTAAATCCTTTGTTGCTATTTCAACAATCTTCATAACATCTTCACGGGAGTAGATTCCATCTCAAGAAACCACTTTCTTTGCTCATCCATAAGAAGCAGCTCCTCATCCATTCAAGTTTATCATGAGATTGCAACCATTCAATCACAACTTCAATTCAGTCAATTGTTATTCTAGTTCTCTTGTTATTTCCACCACATCTGCAGTTACTTCCTCCACTGAAGTCTTGAACCCCTCAGAGTCATCCACGACGGCTGAAATCCACTTCTTCCAAACTCTGTTCATGTGGATATTTTGACCTCTTTCCATGAATCGTGAATGTTCTGAATGGCATCCAGAAGGACAAATCCTTTCCAGAAGGTTTTCAGTTTATTTTACCCAGATCCATCATAAGGATCACTATTGATGGCAGCTATGGCCTTAAGAAATTTATTTCTTAAATAAGAGTTGAAGTTGAAATTACTCCTTGATCCATGGGCTGCAGCATGGATGTTGCGTTAGCAGGCACAAAAGCAACATTAATCTCATTTCATGTCTCTGTCAGAGCTCTTGGGGGCCAGGTGCATTGTCCGTGAGCACTAATGCTGTGACAGAAATCTTTTTTCTGAGCAGTAGATCTCAAAAGTGGGCTTACACTATTCAGTAAACCATGCTGTAAATAGACATGCTGTCATCCAGGCTTTGTTGTTCCGCTGACAGAGCTCAGGCAGAATAGATTTAGCATAATTTTTAAGGGCCCTAGGATTTTCAGAATAGAAAATGAGCCATTGGCTTCAATTTGAAGTCCTCAGCTACCTTATCCCCTAGTGAGAGTCAGCCCGTCCTGGGGAACCTTTAAGCCAGGCATCCACTTCTCCTTTCTACCTATGAAAGTCCTGGATGGCTCTTCTTCCAATATGAGGCTATTCGTCTACGTTGAAACTCTGTTGTTCACCTTAATTCATGATCTTAGCTAACCTTTCTGGATGACTTGCTGCAGTTTCTAAATCAGCCCTTGCTGCTTCACACTTTTGTTATGGAGACGACTTTTATCCTTAAACCTCATGAAGCAACCTCTGTTAACATTAAACTCTCTTTCTGCAGCTTCCTCTCCTTTCTCAGCCTTCATAGAATTGAAGAGAATTTGGCTCTTGCTGTGGATTAGGCTTTGGCTTAAAGGAATGTTGTGATCTGGATGGCCAATCTTCCATCCAGACTAATAAATTTTCTCCGTATCAGCAATGGTGCTGTTTTGCTTTCCTATCATTTGTATATTCACTGGAGGAGCACTTTTAATGTCCTTCAGGAACTTTTCCTTTGCATTCACAACTTGTGACTGTTTGGTGCAAGAGGCCCAGCTTTTGGCCTGTCTCAGCTTTTGTCAACATGCCTTCCTCACTAAACTTAACTAATTTCCAGCTTTTGATTTAAAGTGAGAGATACGTGGCTCTTCCTTTCACTTGAACACTGAGAAGCCACTGTAGGATTATTCATTGGCCTACTTTCAATATGGTTGTGGCTCAGGGAATAGAGAGCTTGAAGAGAGGGAGAGAGATGGGGGAGCGACCAGTCAGTGGAGCAGTCAAACACACACTTATCAGTTAAGTTTGTCAGCTGATACGGGCATGTTTCACAGCACCCTAGAACTACAATTACAATAGCAACCTCAAAGATCATGATCACAGATCATCATAACAAATATAATAATAATGAAAAATATTGAAATATTGTGAGAATTGCCAAAATGTGACAGAGAGATGTGAAGTGAGCACCTGTTGTTGGGGAAATGGTGCCAAATAGACTTGCTCCATGCAGAGTAACCACAGACCTTCAACTTGTAAAAAATACAGTATCTGCAAAATGCAATAAAGTGAAATGCAGTAAAGTGAGGTATGCCTCTGTTACGACAGTTAGAAGCTCTTGATAATAAAGATAGCCACTCAAATAACCTTAAATAACGTGATTTCAACGTTTAAAGGTTACCATACAAGCATACCATAGTTCTCTCAGCATAAATCTTCATTCTAAGCTTCTTTACAGCTTTGTAAAGAATTTACAAATTATTCTTAATTCTTAATTTGGATACTATGGTATACTTTATCAAGATGCCTGTTCAAAGCATGTCTTATAAATCATACTAATCTATTTTAAAGTGCATCTAAAGAAACCTACAAATAACAACAACAAGCTTATTTCAAAATGTAGAGTTGCAGATCAGAGTCACTGAATTACTCCCCTGTTTTAATAGTCTAACTGTATTCTAGTTCATCACAGCTTTAAATCAATTGGAAATGTGGTAATGCAACATAATGCAATCATTCCCCCCCACCCTTGCAAATTTAATGTATTTAGTTAAAGCTTTTGTTTAGCTATTGATTAAAATGGAAAACTGATTGGGTTGTGGTTTAGATCATTTAAGGACATTTAAAGTATACAACATCTTCAGGAAATGAACGATTTGCCTTTAAAATAACAAAGGAAAAGAAGAGTGTGCCATGAGATTCCATGAGGAAATTCTCACCAAGTCCCCTCTCTGTGCATGACTATTGTGAGGTATCCGTGCTAAGACAAGTTTTACTGATACCTCTTCTCTTACGGTCATCAACCAGGCTTACAGTAAATAAGTTTTTCAGTTACATTCAAATACTTTTATCAGATATATTCTAGACACCTTGCTAAGTATTACTAGATAATGAAAAATTTAGCCTTTATCCCCATCCTATGTCTTTGTTTTTAAGGAACTTTTTTTTATCTTATTGAGGATAAAGAACTTAAGTCCATTCAACAGAGATCACTGAGGTAGAACAGTAGAGAACCTGATGATATAGGACCAAAATCGTATGATCATGTCAGCATCTTGAAGAATTATGTAATGTCAGAGAAGGGATGAACCTATAAGAGCCAGTACAGTGTCACAGTACTTCATGGAAATGGGAAAATGGAACTAGACTTTGAAAAATACTCTTCTATTCCAAAG